TTTGCCTTGTTACACATACTAGTAAAGAACTGTTATTCCTATCCCCATATCTTTGCCTGAGAACCACTTAATTTCAAACTTAGACTAATTCAGGGGGAGAAGGTTTACTTCCTCCATTCTGCTTTTCCCTAGCAGACACCTGTCTTTCAAACCAGGACAATGACTGAACTCAGCTGGGGAGATGCAGAAAATAGCTTCCTGTAACAACTGCCAGTTTTATTGTTTCTGTTCTCTGTGTCACAAACACAACTACAATTCCTGCAGTATTGTTACACCCTGTAAATTTTTTTGTAGAATTTTCTTTCTGTATCCCTGAAGATGCAGAGTATACTGAGACTGATTTTTATATGCTTATGCCAGTCTGAATTTACATTTTGTTCTTTCATTGCCAGTAGTTTGATAATTCAGTGCTACTGAAAGAAGGAGGAAGGTGATGATGGAGGTGGTAGAGGGCTATTTGTCACAGATGGAAATTACTTGTTTGTTCATTTATTTGAGTTGCATTTTGCTTCCTAGAATCAGTCATAGTCAGAATTGCCAGAAAATCGTGCGTTACTGTGATAAAACCAAAATGAAGGAGCAAAAACCGCCTTATTGTCAGATTAAAAGTGTGACTGTTGCTGCAGGTACAAGGGTTTAGTGCGATTTAATTTCCAGGTAGGTTTAAACTACAACAGATGCAGAAGAGAAATTGTATGAGTGTGAACATGTGCATTGCTCAAGGCAGTTATGGGTCTTACTGGTGTTACTTAGTCCCATGTGGTTTGTATGAATGCTGCTAAATGTCATAGGATTTCTTTATGAGGCCACGTAGTGATGTGGTCGTTCTCTTCGAAGTACACAGGGAATCTGAAAGTCAGATACTAATATTTATGCATATAAGATCTTTCCTTGGGCTTTTCTAATTGACAGTGCCTGACTAACAACATCTGAATACTATAATGCAGGAAATGGATTGTGGCTTTTACCATTTCTTCCAACTCTAAATAATTTATAAGCAGACAAAATAGAAAAGTGTGAAAAATTATATATATTCTATTTGCAGCTTTTCAGTATCCCATAAAGGAAAAATTAATTTTAGTGCTTCAACTGATTTTAACATCTGTATCCCATTTTCCAGATGTTTTTAATTTTACCCTCTCTTTCCTATTTTACAATCTCTTTCTTAAGACTACCCTATTGATGCATTTTTTTTGTCCAAACCTACTGTAACATATAACTTGTATTTAAAACCTTCTTCTAAATATTTCCTAGAGACTTTACTGGGGAGCTGTTATAAAAAGTATTACCAGCAGATACTTTGTATTTCAGTTGTGGATTGAATTTGGCTATTGTCTTTATTTTCTCCTGTAAAACACTGTATGTGACACTGCAGGGAAGACGGGAGTGTCTGAGAACATTGTTGTAGACAATTTGCACTATCCAATTGTGTGGATTAGCTTGAGGAAGTGCATTTGAGAGTAAAGTGTTAGTGGATAGCAGTTCCATGTGTTCCGAAATTGCATGCTGGATGGTAGTTTCAACGTGTTTGACCATTTCCATCCATTGAAAGAAGAGAGAAAAAGGATTTTTCTAGCATGTGTGTGTGATCTTTCTGAGAACATGAAGACATCCTGGTCCAAGGTTTTTCTAGTTAAATTCCCACTTCATGCTGTAAGCTGTTCCTGTAAATTCCCATCCTTTCAATGTAGGAATGCAGTGTTATGAACAAGTTGTATTTCAACTAGCCATGTGGTAATCGAGATTTTACTCCTTCTCTTTCTTAAAGCTTACTTATACTGTTTTTCCAGAGGTTACATGCCTGACTATTAAATTAGCTAATTGTTTTGCAGTGAAATCACATCACAATAGGGCTGTTTGTTAACAGTTAACGGTTAACAAAAGATTTTTCATAATGAATTGACAATGCACTAGTGGAATAACAGTTTTATACTCTTCAGCTCAGTTCTCAATGATTTGTACAGAGGCAGGACAGAATTACAGGTGGTCACTAATTCATACTGATTTTTTCTTTTGCTCCCAGGGATGCTGTGTTTTTTGGTTTGTATCAATTTGTTGCTTTCTCTTTCTGTTGCTCTTTCTAAGGAAGTTTTCTGCTTTTCTAGGACAACTAAAAGACATTGTACTTTATATGATGGACAACATTCCACTCTCTCAGGAGTATGTCATATTCCAATGGCTGAGCCATTCTGCACCAAAACCAGAGAGGTTAGTGAATTCTGTAATAGTATTAAGAAATGTTGTTTTTATGGCACTTTTTGTGATATATTAGTGTAATTATGCATTCTTAGAATACAGAGGCAATATGCATCTCTTTATCCTGTTTCTCAGATTCCTCCTAAGGAATGTATGCAGAAGCAGTCAATTGGCAACAGATTTTCCCAGTCTTAATAACAGGAGAAAAATCTTTATTTATCAATTAACCAGCCAAGAAAGAAACAAAGTGAACAAAGTAGTTAGAATTAGAAATCAGTTCCCTTTTTTTTTCCTCAATAAAGCTGCACCTATGGTAGAGGCACTCTACATACTTAAATATTTAAATTAGTAGTACTTTAACATTCACAAAAATTGCAGTATTGCGTTTGTGCTGTTGTGCATTGTAGAGGTAAGTGGTGGTGTAGAGTCGAGGTTTAGGATGTTAAGTGTTGAAACAAGCCAAGTGATATTTGCCTTTTATTCTTAGCTGTTGCTCTCAGTTGTGTCACTTCAAGATTTTCAGGCTTAGACTAGAGAGTCTGAAACACTTCTCTATTTTTGAGCACCTTTATAAACTTCTGGGAGGAGTGTATCTGATTAAATATGTCACTTTAGTGTATTCCTAGAGTTGAGGAAAAAGGAAGGTTGAAGATTGAACTGCATATTTTGTGGAATGCTCTGGTCAGTGGCTGCAAGGAGGTACATTCTTCAGAGAAACAAGAGTACTTACAGAATGAGTCATATTCATTTGAGAGGTGTATTCTTGCAATCAAGACAAAGCTGAATTGTGAAGCAGGTGGCACAATCTATACCCAGAGCACATTCAAACATTTGGACTTCTGGGCTATTCTGCTTTTGTCACCAATTTGGTTCAGTGTCATTGTGTGCTATTTTTGCTAATTGGTCACACTGTGGTTTAGAGATAGTCACACTGGGAATCAAGGTGTTCTACAATAAGCTAAAGATATTTTAAGTCTCATGAAGAAACAAGCTACTGCATATTAAATATGTGCATGCTTTTGCCTGTCTTTCACTGAGCAGTAATTTATGCAGAATACTTCGCATTTTTCTTGCAAACAGCCTAGCCACGTGCTCCTACCAAAGATTAGTTGGCATTTAGTCAGTTTCTTCTGTGAGCATGATGTCATGTCCCAGCAGATCCAAGGAGTTTATTAAGAAATGGATTAAAAAGTGTTACCATTTTGGTGATTGGCAGTACTTAATTTTTTAAAAAAACTAAGTACTCATACATAAGACATTTCCTGAGACTGCAGGAAACATATGCCAAGACTAGTTTTCTTTCAGTTGTTAGCTAGATAGAGATGTTATTAGGGTTTTACATTTTTTGAAAAGCCAGCAGAGAAATGTGCCTTTTCAAACAGAGAAAAAACATTTAGGTATTTTCCAGTCACAGACATGTGATCATTATCTCATTAGCCTGTGCATTCTAATCCACCTAAGAGATGTTTTATAGAACATTTGGGTTTTGAGCTCTGTGTGAGACTAAGGAGGAGTCTCTATCCCAATTGAGAGGAATTTCATAGATAAATGCAATAATTATGAAAAAGCCAAAATTATGAATGTAACATATTTAAGGAATTTTGCATCTAAACAGCTGAAACCTTGATATTATATTGCATTTGTACAAATACATTTAAATGATCTGGTTTAGTTCGTTTATGCACTGTAAATTAAATTAGAATCTAAATGGAGTTTATTTTTTTCTCTCAGAAGTTTTGAATAATACAGGGTATCTTGGGTATTGATGCTTTTGGAAACTGAGCTCAACACAACATCTTACAGGTAGTAAAGTTGGAACTTCGTAAAGAGTTTCAGAAAAGTGCTGCTCACATATGGCTTTCTCATGTCAGTTGGCTGTTGATATATTAACAATGTAATTAACTGGCATTCAGCTAAACATATATTCAGAATTAATGCATCAATAAACCAAAATAATCGGTGTGATTAATATTAGATCAACTGACAACACAGAATGAATCACAGAATATTAAGGGGTTATTAAGGACCTTAAAGATTATCTAGTCCCAACTGCCACTGCTATGTGCAGGGACACTTCCCAATAGAGCAAGTTGCTCAAGGCCTTATCCAACCATGCTTTAAACACTCCCAGGGTTGGGGCATCCACAGCCTCCTTGGGCAGCCTTGTCCCACTGTCTTACCACCCTCACGTTAAAAAATTCCTTCCTAATATCTAACCTAAATTTCCCTTCTTTCAATTTGCTCCTGGTATTCCTTGTTTTATCACTACAGTTCCTGAGAAGGAGTCCTTCTCCACCTTCCCTTGTAGAACCCTTCAGATATTGGAAGATTGCTATGAGGTTTCTCGGCAGCCTTCTCTTCTCCAGGCTGAACAGGCTCAACTTTCTTAACCTGTTTCATAGGGGAGGTGCTCCAGTCTTCTTATCAACTTCGCGGCCCTCCTCTGGACTTGTTCCAACAGTTCCATGTCATTCTTACAAGTAAGGACCACGGAACTGGATGCAGGGTTCCAGGTGGGGTCTCAGCAGAGCAGAGGGGCAGCAGCCCCTCCCTTCCCCTCCCTCACTGCGTTGGATCCCATTGGCTTTCTGAGCTGTGAGTGCACATGGCCAGGTCATGTTGAGTTTTTCATCATTCATCACCCCCGTCCTTCTTGGCAGGGCTGCTCTCAATCTCTTCCTCACACCTGTAGGTGTGTCAGGTGTTGCCACAACCCAGATACAGTGCAGACCTGTCTACATGTGTCTGCAGTGGCAGATGTGGGTACTCCAGCTTTATGTTGTTGTGCTGCTACACAAGATCTACTGCTCCGCACAATCCACTGCTCCACGTGCCAGGAAGAAGGCACCCCACAAGGTCACGTAGCACACTTGAGCTTTTGCTGCTTGTTGCATCTGTTTGTGTTGAGTGTAGGCTTCTCATAGTGTTTTGCAGGGAAGCTGCTCCACATGATGTAAGCCACAATGCTAAGAAGTTGCTTCTAGTGATGTCAGACTAGGTTTTTCACTGCTTCTGTGTTATGAAGGTCCCTCCTGGCTAACAACTTTTTTTTTCCTTTTTTGTTTTTTTAATGGCCATTTTAAATAGATGTCATCATAGTTCCTTCACTTTCCTACTCAGGACAGTGATGGGTATCCTAGTCCCATTTACCTAGACTGGCATGCTCTTATTCCTGCTGTATTAACTGGCATTATTCAGGCCAATTACCAAGAGATAAAAGTCAGGATTATTCTGCTGTATATGAGGTTCTTGTAACTAAAAAAACTGATGTATGTCCAGTGTACAGCTCAGCCACTGGCATGGGAAGATGTGGTAATAATTTCTGCACAGATGACCAGAGTGCTCTTTGAAGTATGTGCTTGTAGAGTTTTACTTTCAAAATGTAAATTTCTTACTACTGTTCTCACTGGCTCAGCTCCACCATGTGATATTGTAGCCCACATGTAGTGGAATGCTTTTACCTGCAGCTCTCCCTGCAGTGCAGGCACAGTCTAAATGTGCAAAAATACTCTGTTTCCCAGTCTTCTTGGTCTGCGTTGAAAGCAGTAATCCAACTGATACTAACAAAATCAGATGAGTTCAGGTTCATCCCTCTTGGTAGAAGCATTAATTTCTCTTGTGGAGTGAGGAAGACAAAACTCATCTTTGGTTTTGGACAGCTGTAGTCATATGAAATATGACTACTTTGTATAAATCTAACTTATTTTATGTGCAAGTTTTTAATGGGATGCCAGAGCAGTGCATGAGGGGAATTACTGTCTTTCCTCGACATCGGCGTGTTTTGCAGGTTCTTATTGACACTGCCAAGAAGCTGGGGCTCCAGTGTCATTCCAAGGGGACAATGATCACAATTGAAGGCCCGCGTTTCAGCACTCGAGCAGAAAGCTGTGTGTTTCGCAGCTGGGGAGCTGATGTTATCAACATGACTACGGTGCCTGAAGTGATCCTTGCGAAGGAAGCTGGAATGAGTTATGCTAGTATTGCCATGGCAACAGATTATGACTGCTGGAAGGAACATGAAGAAGCAGTGAGTGAAACCTTTTTCCTCTGGTGTTGTCCTGAGGGATTTGGATAAGAATATATAGGTTTTGATAAGAGATTACATGCTGTACTGTTCTTAATTACAGTACTATCCCCAAGTTTTCTTGATGAATGATTGTGAAAGTTAAAAATAGTCAGTTGTTGTTATCTCATTCATTTTCATAAACCTGCCTAACTACTAGCAAACCTTTTGTTTCTTGTTGTCTGAATCAGGGGGTCTTTGAGTATGAAGCTCATGTGATTTGTCTTCCTGTAATTGGTCTGTGTTTTTTTCTTTTGCAGCTCTGTGCAAAACAGTATATATGCTTTAGTTCTCCTATTTGTTTGCAATACACGAGTATAAACCATACACATAGAGAGGAAAAAACATTTGTGCCATCTAAAAAGACTGATATTCTAAGGGTTCACTTTTACACTTCTGAGATAAATTTATTTGGGTGTTTAAAATGTGTGCCATCAAAATTGGGAGACAGCACTCAGTCGTATTGTATTTCCAGGTTTCAGTGGATAAAGTTTTAAAGACGCTGAAAGGGAATGCAAATAAGGCTACAAGCATATTCCTTACTGCTATACCTCAGATAGGCTCCATGGAATGGACCGACACCCTGCACACTCTGAAAGTAAGTACACAAATGAGGCTGATGAGTACAAGGGACAGTGTATGTGTGTGCACACATAACACAGGTGTATGTTACAGGATGTTTTTGCTTAAATCAAAATGTTTCAGAGTAAATGCTTCAAGAAACCAAATTCATTGAAGAAGGGCGGACAGATTCTACACGATTCTTGCACGGTTTGTTGCCAAGATCTAGCTTCAGTTTTGCAAGAAGTTTTGGAAAAGGTTAAAAAATACAGATAGCTATGTATGGTTGATGAAGTGAGACGTCAACCATAAGATGTTCATAAGATACAAATATATGTTGAGTATCCAAATGAAACCCTGATCTTGCATCTTAGCACAAAGGAGAGTCAAGTGGAAGACTGAACCAAACCAAAAACATTATGCTCACTTTAATATATAGAAGAGGAAAAGTCTTAAAAGATATGGGTTTGAAATTATTAGAATTGTGTTTTCCATAGGTTTTAAGTCCAAAATGCATGAAAAAATATGGACAAGAAAAACATTTCAAAATATATTAGTGAGGGAGTTCTTAAGCAGAATTTTTCTTAGACAAGGCTTACTTGTGTTTTTATCACCTGTATTTCACAGGCATACTCGAGATTCATTTGTGGTTATAACAAAGATGAGGAAGCCAATGTTTAAACTGTTTGGATGTCTATCCAGCTTCTCAACAAGTTTTATTTTACTGGGTTGAGATATAGACCAGGAGAGATCATTCATCAAATACTGTCACAAGCAAAACAGGCTCAGCTTCGAGATATTAATTTAATTTATTACTAACAAAATCAGAGGATAATTCCACCCTGGCCCCTATGACTCACATATTTAAGAATTGCTATCCAAATTGCACTCAGCATATAATCCTTAGTTAGAACAACAAAAAACTACTAAACAAAACAGAAGAAAAAGTTCTCTACAGTAAATCTAAGGCATAATCACTACACAGAACCAAAAAGACAAATTACACAAAAAATCCACCCCTATATTTTTCTCTAAAATTACAATACAAATTTCCCATTGTCATTCTACTTAATTTTGTGATTTAATACTTGTTTTGCCCATTATTTCTTCCAATTAATATCCTTATTTCAAAGTGATCATGCTTGCCCACATTCTCCACCAAAAATGTCATGATTTTGACACTGGCCAAACACCAGTGCACCCATGAAAAGTCATTCACTCATTCTCTGCTATAGTCGAGCAGAGGAGAGGGAAAGAGAAAGAAATTTAAAAGCTCATGGGGTGAGATAAAGATTAGGAGAAAACACTCTTAAGGGCAAAACAGACTCAAAACTTTAAAAGGTATAAAGAAAAATTTATTAACAGAATTCAAAAAGGATAATGGGAACTACCTTTAGAACCCCTTCCCCCCTCCCCCAGCCACTCTTTCCTTCCCACTGACAGCTCAGGGAGACAAAACATTGGGTTTTTGTCAGTTTGTCACCTCTAAAAATCTTACTTCAGTTCACTTAAGGAGAGGAGTCTCTTGCTATACCATGGGTCCTTCCCATGGGAGACAGTTCTCTGTGAACTCCTCCAACATGGTTCTAATTTTCATGAGTAGCAGTCCCGCCCAACCTACTGCAACGTGAGTCTCTCCCACGGGCAAACAATTTTACCACAACTGTTAATTCATGGGCCATTTCAGTTCATGGGGTATAGTCTTTTAAGGATGAGCTGTTCTAGTTTGGAAGCAGGGGTCGTCTTCCTCTGTCTCTGGAAGCAAGAGTTCTTTCTCTCTGTGTTCAGGCCTGGCATGAGATCACAGCTTTTCAGCATCCACACACTTGAGCCACGAGCACCTTTTTCTCACAGGCTGCAGGTGAATTCTGCCTCCCCTCATGCACTTCATGGGAAACAGTTTGTTATATTATAGTCCTCAGCATGGCTTGCAGAACAATCTCAGCTCCAGAATTTGGAGCACCTCCTCCTCCTCCTCCACCCCCTCCTTTTCACTGACCTTGGTGTTGCCATGCTGTTCTCCTCATGTGCCTTCATTTTTTCCCTTTTCTCTGACTCGGGAGAGAATTGGTATTCATAGGTTTGTTTGTTCTCGAGTTCTATCAATTGAAAAAATTTTATGGGTTTCCGCAGTGCTGAGAGATTGATCTTGTCCAGGCTCTACATCAAGGAATTGCTTACCATGCCTGTCACTGCTGGTCTCATGGTCCCCACCCACTGGCTCCACGTGGGCCGCGCCAGCCAGCACAGCACCGGCTCCATTCAGTGCCTCTCTTTGTGCGGGACACAGAAAAAGAGAAGCTGCTGCCGCTGCTTCTGCCCTTCTGTTTGCAGTGCAGCAGAATAGAAGTGGCCAGGCAGGCAAAGTCCATGGCTGGCCATGCCAAGATGGTGGTGGCCACTCGGCCACTCCTGGCCCCAGCCGCCCCCAGTCTCGTCTGTGGGGCCACTCCCAGTGCCGGCTGCAGTGCGGGGATGGCCCCTTACAGCATGCTACAGCAGCCCCTGCCACCACCCCTCCAAGGAGAGGAAGAAAAGAGAGTTCCCATGGTTTGTCTTTCTTAAATATGTTATCAGAGAGTCGTTACCAGCTTTTCCAATTGACTTAGCAGTGTGCTTGTTCTCAGAGCCAGCCAGCGATTGGTTTTGCCAGGCACAGAAGGAGCTTTTAGCAACTCCTCACCGAAAATCACTTCCATGGCTGACTTCTTCCCTCCTCACCAAAAATCAAGCCATGCAAAACCACCATAATCACTAATCAAATACTGTCATGAGCAAAACAGGCTCAGATTAGAGATTTTAATTTAGTTTATTACTAACAAAATCAGAGCAGGGTAATGAGAAGTAAAATAAACCCTTAAAAACACCCTCCCTCCACCTTCTTCCAGCTCTACCTTCTACCCCAGAAGTGCAAGGAGACAGGGAAGGGGATTATGGTCAGTTCATCACCCGAGGCTGCTCCCAGTGCTCAGGGAGAGGAGTTGTTCTCCTGCTGCACCCTGGGGGTCCCTCCCGTGGGAGACAGTTCTCCATGAGCTTCTCTAATGTGGCTCCATCTCATGGGCACCAGGTCCCCTCAAACTGCTGTGGTGTGGGTCATTCTTCCATCGAGTGCAGTCCTCCAAGGACAGGCTGCTCCAGCCTAGGAGCAGGGCACCTCTCTCCATGGGTCTCCCACAGTGTCACAGCCTCCTCCAGGCATCCAGCATGGGGCTCCTCCATGGGATGCAAGTGAATCTCTGCATCCCCATGGATCCCCATGGGCTGCAGGGGCACAGCTGTTGTACCAGGGGCTGCAGTGCCTGGAGCACCTCCTGCCCCTCCTTCTCCACTGACCTTGGTGTCTGCAGAGTTGTTGTTCTCTCATGTTCTCACTCCGCTCTTCTCTGATGCATTTACAACTGCACAAGCCCTTTTAGTTTTGAGTTCTTAAATCTCTTATCACGGAGGTTTTACCATCACTTCTGATTGGCCCAGCCTTTGCCAGTGGCATGTCCATCCTTGGAGCCACCAGGGATTGGCTCTGCTGGACATGGAAGAAGCTTCCAGCACCTTCTCACAGAGGCCCATCTCTAGCCCCTTGTTACCAAAAGCACGCCATGTAAAACCAATACATCATACCAGTGATTCTCATCTCTGCTTTAGTCATGGAGGGAACATATTTAGTAAAATTCACCTTGGACACTTTTAAAGCACAAATGACCAGGTCAGGTTTGTAGAATTCTAACCCAAATTCTTGAAATTAATCTTTTGCCAATTCTGTACTGAAAAATCTACTTTTCATTAGGAGTTACTGAATTATGAATTATGTTTATGAATCTTCCTCACCTGGTTATCTGAAACAGTTATTTTAATATTCCCTCTATACATATGAGAGAGGCAACTGACTTTTTCCTTTCCCTTTTACATTTGTTAGGAAGTTGTATCATGGATGGATAAGTGAGGCAACAACATCACTATTGCTTCTTCCCTCTAATCCACAGAAAACATTTTCAGAGGACAGGACTGCACTTTTTAATACAGATGCCTAGCTATATAGCAAACTCAGAGTTTGAACAAATAATGTAAAATGTGCTAGATATTCCTCAGGCACTTTTTTTCATACTGGCACGAGAGGAAATGGTTCCCAAGTCTATTATGCTGCTTAAGTACTGATGAATCCGCCTTGGTTTCTGGCAGGCAGTGAGCAGTGTCCTCTCGTGTTTCTTTGTGGGATTATCTTGAATCTTCATTGGGAGTGAAAGAGAGCTGGCAAACTGGAGAACTACATTTGTGATGTTCCCCTTTAATGAACACCAGCTCTTCTTTCAGTTCATTGACAAGTGCTTCTTCCAGTTCAGTCCCCTAAGTGCTGTTTGCTGAAAGAAGAAAATGTAATGCACCAGAGGAAGAGTCACTCTGTCCTAATGTTGCTTCTTAACGCTTTTTCTCTTAAATATCTACTGCCTCCTATCAATTATGAATATTGAGATAGTTTCACTTGCAATTAGGTGTTTATGTTCTTTGCAGATAGGTTTGAGTGATAGTGTACTGAGAAGGGGAATTGATCTGAAGGCACTGGAAGAGCTGGAAACAGGCAGTAGGGATTGAAATTTTATATCAAGAAAGTAGGAGCCACAAGTGTTAATGACTTGAAAGAACAAGAACTCTGGAATAGTGAGAAATTCTGAAGCTCCAGAAGCTTTGGCAGCTTCCTTTAATTTTACTTAGGAACATCAGGAAAGGCTAAAAATGTTCCTTTTTGGGGGATTCAGTGGTGATAAAGCAGAGGAAGGATTGGCGTTAATGAATGAGAGAGGCAATTTTGCATGGAAGCAAAGAGAAAGGTACATGTATGTGCCTCTGTACAAGTGTGTAATTGAACCATAAGGAGTTTTTTAAACCACTGTCTTGTAGTGTACTTCAGCATATTTTGTGGTGGGAGTTTGGAAGGCCAGATGATGGAGTTTTTTTGAACTGATCCGTTTTGGAAGCACCTTTTCCTAGAGTTGGAGGCAGCACACCCCTTTTATGCCCTGTGGAAATGTTTTAAGGAATACAGAGAAGGAGCAAACTGCCTAAGACTGCAGCAGGTGCACTGCTGTCAGTGGCAGCATATATCCAAGCCACAGCTGTGGATCTCAAGTGGGCATTTGCAGATGTCTGTTCTAGTGTTGGGGAAGCATGTGAAACAGTAAAGCTCTACATAGATACAGCTTTTCTTTTCCAATATCTGTAATCTGGCTGCTATGACAGGAGGAGCTTCACCTGGCAGAAGAAAATGTGCTGTCAGTCTCTGCCCACTGTATTTCTCTGTCTCCTCCTGTGGAGATATTCATCCCAGATCAATACACATGCCTGTAATGTCACCTCTAAATCTCACTGAAGTCTTTAGGGAAGACTACAGTGTTGAAACAAGATGTCCAAGGGCTGTTTTTTGGATAAAGAATAGGCTGCTTGCCATTTGTTCTCTTTCATGTATCATTTATTCAGTGATGTGTGGGTGAGTGTAAGTGTACTTTGCAAGTTACTATTTTTTAACTATCTATGAAGTCTTTAGGCCAGTATTTCATGGCTTTCTGGCTGTAAAGAGATCATTTTCCAGTGTCAGGCTAAAGCCTTCACTCTTTCAGAACTGGCTATAACCACTTGGTATTTATGTCATGTGTCTGGAAATGCAGATGGTGCTGTTGATCACAGTGGTGCAAGTGATTTCTGGTTGGTGTCAAGGAAATTTCTGCATGGGCTGGCTGGTCAGTCATGGGTGATATACAGCTGTTCACTAAGAAGAGTTGTTTAGTGAGGTGATAATTACTGGTAGTTGTTGCTGTAATTATCATGCAATTGTGGCATTCAACATCCTATGAGGAGCAAGTAAGGCAATTAACAGTACAGTTCCTGGAGTTCAGGTGAGCATACTTGTTTTTAATAAACGAATGTATAATCTCATAGCAGACAGCTCTTAAGAGTCAAGGAGCTCCAGAAAGTTGGCAGGTCTTTAAAGGCAGTATTCTCCAAGCTCAGTACCAATACTTGACAGAACAGGAAACAGCTCTAGTGTAAAAATGCAGCATTCAAGGGCTGGAAGCAGAAGCAAGCTATAAAGAGAGAACCCATATGGAAGTGCAGGTATATTAGGGATGCTTTCAGGACAATGAGAGCTTGTCTATAGTTGACAGCTGGGAGAGAGGCAACAAGAACTACATCCAATGCATTGATAACAAAAACTTATCATGTAAAACATGGGCTCATTGCCCATGAAGTAAAAGATTTGGTAAGATCAGACGATTTCATACAGGGGCCAATAAAGTAGACTTTTTTTTAATCTTTGCTAGGAGAAGTATTAGTTAGAAAACACCCGTCCTGTTGAAAAGAATTTTAGCTCATCGTAACTGGGAATTGAGCTCTGTACCTTTATTACAATAAGGTTTAACCCCATGACTATCAGAAGAGAATTGCTCCTATACTATCTATAATCTCTCCTGTACTATAATGGTAAAAGCAATGTCCTGTTAGAACTGATTTTTTTTACAGTGTGGCTGTAAAAAGATCAGCTTGTGGTAAAGTGTCAGCTCTTGTGAGTGCTCCTCAGGTTAATTTCTTGGCTCTGTGGGGAAACCTGCTGGTACTATCTGCCTTTTTCTTGAACTTCTGTACTAGCTGGTGAGAAATAGTATTTGTCTGATCTCTGATACAAGGAATAATGCTGTATTTTGAGAGTTGTGGTAAGTCAATACTCTACAGTAGTGTAGACTGGGTAAGGTAATTGTAGATGTGTTTCAATACACTTCATCAGGAAGTCACTTGGACATTTATGTGATTTGACAGATAGCAAGTTGAAGGTCGTAAAACTTAGTGGTTTTTATAGCCTATCTCAAAATGAAAATTACATTCCTAAGTTCTGTATGTAGAACTCTAATCTTATAAATATTTTGGAGTAATTTTCTTCCTCAAAAAGTATCTCAGTGAAATCAGTGAATTACATATATGATCAGAGTACTCAGGTGAGTAAAGTGGAGGAGGAAAATTCATCAAGGCTTCACTTCAACTGTAGTTGCATTGATCTACATGCAGAGGTACTTGCAGGCCAAGGACTTCTCACAAAAGCTGAAATTCAAATGTTTCTGAGACCCTGCCCTTGAATGTGGCTAGTGTCAAATTTGCCTGTCCCGTCATAACTTGAGTATTTCATTCACTCACAGTCAGTGCTATCTGACTGGTTTCTGTTCTTGATAGCTGTACTTCAGAATTTATAGAAAATCATGTAGAAGTCACAGAAAGCATGCTGCAGAATTTTTCATTTGTAGTCTGTGAGCCCAAAGTCCATAATTCAGTATTTTTGCAATATGGTTGTTTTTCTCCATACCAATAAGCCGATAACATAGCTTTGCAAAAGTTGTAGTGAAAACTCCTTGTGTGTGTATGCCCTCCTTGTAATTATATTGATTTCTGTGGTGTTGGAAAAAGTTGGAAATACTATGCACATGAAATGAGTTACACGTGTTTGTAACCAAAATGGAAGCTACATAGTCTACCTTTACAATGACAAGTAATTCTCTCTGCATTGGCAAAAGAAGCATTTATCTCCTGTGACTTTGTATTTCAGACAATGGTGCAGTGTTCAGTCATCCTGCCAAAGCAGTAACAACCTGGATGGACCTTGAAGTTTCAGGGCTTTCAAGGAAGAGTGAATCACTTTCGAACTTTCAGAGGTTACAATATCTTCAAAAAATGTTACAAGCTTAAAAGAATGGACTAAACATTGACCGATGACCATGTGTAAGGCTGCTGTTAAAATCTTTGTCAGTTTGATCACATACAAGATGGTTAAAATTAAATTTTGAGTATGTTTTCAACTATAAATAACCCTACTGACAAACTGTATCCAACAGTGGTCAGAGAAAAAAAGCCAGTATCCTCTAATCAGTGGTACCTTTTAACTGATGGTAAAAAGGAAAGTCTAAGTGATATTTTTGTTGCAGTTTCATAAAATAAGATCTAAGAAAGCAGATTCATGGGCTATTTGTATTGCTGTTTCTACCTCCCATATTTTCCTTCAAAAAGGCACATGGTTACAATCAACTTTGGAAAGTTAACAGAAACATAACAGAAAAGCTGAACAAACAATTTCAAATCAAAATGATACTATTTTTATACATTATCCATATTTTTATTCCAGTGATTTTTTTTTTGAATCAGTGTATTTGTTTTGTGTGCTAGAAGACATGATTTGATAATTGTGGTGGTTCTGTCACAGCAGCAGTTGTGTCAGTGTTGGAGACTGAAGTAATGCCTAAACTAAATTTGTGCCTGAAGATGTACTTATGTGATTACAGAACTGTACAGAAAAAGTACTTTGCTGACAGTGTCTCAAACACTCTGCTGGCCATTTCTGCTTCATCGAACAGCTCTAATTTTAGTTCCTGTATTAAGTGATGAATGTGCTCGAGTGGATTGAATGTATGCATTTCAATTTTTTCAATACAGTTTTATTTTAATAAAATAATCTGCTACTTCTTGTCTAGTAAATAAAATGAATGAAACGTATGGTTCTCCAAGATGTGTGGAAATTGGGGGGTTTATATTTACTTCTAGTCATTATGTCTCACAATGTTTTTTGCCATTCATGGAACAGGTTGGTGATACCTTGTAAACAACAGAGAAAGACACTTTTTAGAAAATACTGTGCTGCTCAGAACTTTAGGTGCTAAGTCCCTGAATAGCAGGGATTGCTGTGGCAGAAGTGGATCAGAATGCAAGGAAAAGATCAGGAACATGAACGGTAAGGAGCCTCGTAGTACTGTAAAAAAAATACTAATCAAAAGGAAAATAGGAGAAAGCAAGTACACAAACATTTTAGCTTCCTAGTATTTTTCTGTAAGACTCACAGTCTCCTACTGTGAAAGCCTTTAGATCTGCATGTATTCTTCCTAGCAAAACCAGTAGACGTGCTTTTCAGATACTGGGGAAAACAGCTTAACCAATTTTCTATATTTCCTGGTGATTTTTTTGAGAATTTGGATTGCAGGAGTCGGAGCTCAAACATAGCTTTCATTACCTTCCACTAACCCAAATCATATATCTGGCCTTAAGGATGGTTTCCTTTTTTATCTTTTTTCCTTGGGCACTTTTGGTGAAATGGATCAGAGCCAGGATCATATCTGAGTGTTCTAAGAGAAAGTTCTTTCTGGGTGTCGATTTTCAATCCCCTTGGGCTTCACTTTTTATAGTGACATATAATGGTAACTGTTATGCTAATTTTTTGTTTATATACTGGGTTCTTAGTGTCACAGGAGAGTGGCACAGAGCAGGTCCATAGGTAGTGGGTTCTGTTAGACATTTCTGTTACAAATTCTTCATATGCAAGGCTAGGTGAGAACACTAGGTAAGGATGGCTGCATCCAAAGAGTTAGAGTCAATAGTTCAGTGTCCAAGTGGAAACCAGGAACAGGTGGTTTTCCTCAGAGGTACTGTATTATTTTAATCAATTTAAGTAAGATAGTGAGATTGAGTTTGTGGAAGGCAAAAGCACCTAGCTGAGTGGTGATTGAGGGAAGGAATGCCATCCAGAAGGACCTTGACAGGCTCAAAGAATGGGGCCCAAGTTCAGCAAGGCCAAGCAGAGGGTGCTGCATTTGAGTTGAGGTGAAGGTAGTTGAGATCAGCCTTTTGGAGGTGGACTTTGGGGTGCTAGTGGATGAAAGTAGAACAAGGGCCAGCAATGTGCTCTCACAGCCCAAAAGGCCAACTGCATCCTGGGCTGCATCAAAAGCCGATTAAGGCAGATGATTTTGTCCCTTTGCTCAGACCCCACCTGGAGTATTGCATCCAGCTTTGGGATCCTCTGTAAGAAAGATGTGTTGGAGCAAGTCCAGCAGAGGCCACAAAGGTGATCAGAGGGATGAAGCACCTTTCCAAAGGGGACAGGCTGAGAGAGTTGGGATTGTTCAGACTGGAGAGGAAAAGGCTCTAGGGAGACCATGCAGTGGCCTTTCAGAACATAGAGGCAGCTTATGAGGAAGATGGAGAGAGACATTTCACCACAGACTGTAGTGACAGGCCAAAGGGCAACAGTTTTAAACTCAGAGTGGGTATATTTAGATTGGATATAAAAATGGCTTTCATGATGGGACTGCTGAGACAGTGAAACAAGTTGTTCAGAAAAGTTGTGGATATCTTTGGAAGTATTCAGAGTAAGGTAGACAGAGTTCTGATCAGCCAAGCCTGGGGGAAGGTGTCCCTGCCCGTGGTGGGAGGATTGGACTATCTGTCATTGATGGTGTGGGCTGGAAGAGACCTTTTTGTGTTATTTACTTGCTCTGTCAACACAGGCTTGGTACCTAACGGTATCTCATGCAGAATTTGTATATAGTTTGTAAAACTCTGGTAGCGTGTAGTGTGTTTTATGCAAAGTTCAGTGTACATTTTATATTCTGAAATGTGTTGCAAGTAATTATCCATAGGATTACAGACAGATATGGTAATTGGCAAGAAAAGCATAGAATAATGTTTAATTCTGTAAAGATAGGACCAAATATAAGTGATTTTAATTGTCTTGCTAAACATTGAAGGCAGGATTGCCGGTGATAGGAAGATGATACAAATTGTATGTATCACATAACTAAAATGAAGTAAACATTGTAACAAAGAACCGTGGCCCCTTCTTGGACTCAGAATGTGTCCGGTTTCACAAGAATGAGAAGTGATGGGCAGAGGGCTTCACTGATAAAAGTCACCACACTTCAGTTTGAGTGTATCTCCATGACTTTTTTTTTTTTTTCAACTGTTATTGAGTCCATTTGCTGTGAAAGATTTGGAGTACTGCCTTCTGGTGCTCCTATATCATAACATCAGAATCAGTGTTAGCAAGTACTAGTTTGAGGCTCTTAGAAAATTACATCTTGGTCTGGTAAATGGCTTATCAGGATATAGGGTGGTAAATTGTGGCTTTGCCTAGCTTTCAAACATCCCAGGTTCCAAAGTGTACCCTCCAAGTTTGATATCACTGCTCATCGTATAGAGACTTTGTGGTTTTGGGTTGTTGTGTATGACATGTTACACACTTTTGGTTTTACACTAACATCTCTTACACCAAATGCTGTCTCCTAGAAAAATTAACAAAGCTTTCTGCAAGAAACCTATCTGCTTTCTATGTGTATGTTTCACAAACCACTTTAAAGCCTCTTCTAAACACCAGTTATTTCAAGACAGGTACCTAAATAGGAAGCAGTGAAGCAAATGAAATAGCTTCTCTGTGGGTAAATTACATGTCATACAAAATGGATTAGAACCATGGAAAGCTTAATAAAGTGGAATTTTACCTCAAGTTTTCCAGGCCTGCTTCTCTGTCTCTAGCAAAATTGTCGTAGACTTTGTATGGCCTGAATGCTGTCTCAACTTTGGGTTGAAGAGAACACCCCTAGAGCTAGTAGGAACTGCTGAAGAACAGATCAGTCTTGCATGCTTCTCTACAGGATATGCCTTGGGGGAATAGAGAAATGCAGATGGGAAACAGTGGGTATGTTAGAAATAAATGTTCAAAGCCTAATTTTCTTTCCCACATACACAGAGGAGAGACTGAGTGGAACCGAGTGCTTGCAAATAGCACAGATGCACAAAGCAAGAGGCTTGCCAATATTAGGCAAGGACCAGGAAAGACAATAAATAGCCAACTGATTTCTCTACTCAGTTTTCAGTTGGTGTCCAAAGTCAGAGGTTGGAACTTTATTAAACACCCAAATTTACACAGACCACAGGCAAAAATGTCACAGCAGGGTAAGGTCAACATGCAAATGACATGCTAGAGAAGATATACACCCACTCAGAGGAGCTTTTTTCCAACTGTCTTTTCAATGATGTTCATTAGGAGTTCTGCTTCATCTTGGCACAGGTGTTCCAGGCAGCAGAACTCCTTCTGCTTTGAGTGAAGAGACTTCTCTATTTGGACTCAGTAGCATTCCACTCCCATGCTATATTCCAAGCCCACACTTACTTGTATCATGAGCACTTGCTCTCTGTGGACTTGCTATTATCTCCTACCCCAGTCTTCACTGATTGTTTGGATGGTGTATTTTGCTTACCCCAGCTATTCATGGCTTTTGAAGTCCTTTTATCTTGGATAAGAGCTCCCTTTATTTTGCTCAGAGCACCTCCAGTGTGCATATTACCAGTATAATGTACTGATGGCAATGCAATAGTGTGGGTTCAAATATAGCACAGACTAGACCAGGAGGCAGGCCATTAGATTCACTCATTTGCTCCTTTTTCTGTTTTCTCTAAAGCATTCTTTGTGGCCTAAGATTGATCTATCTTGCTAACATGAAATTGCCCACTCATATCTCATTTTCACTTATCTAACACATCTAACACTTCACACTCTTTCATGCTAATATCCAAAGCATCTCTCAGAATTTGCACAGGTGGCAAATGACATCAGAATTGAGTTTTTGTATTAGTATTCAAAACAGATCTGAGATCAGTTGGTGTTCTCAGAACGAACCACCAAGAGAGTATTCTGTCTATTGTAGCCAGCTGAGTATCAGTAAGTGAAGAAATTAATTCAGGAGGTGCTCAGCACTGGGCAGGATCAGCGTTCTAAGATGGAAATTTTGGCTTAACTGTTTTAACAACTGCTTCCTCTCCCCACTGTCATTGTAGTGTTGGCTGAAGCAGGACAATGCAAAAGAATTGAAATTAAGATTTGATCACACTTTTGCAAAAGTTTGCCATTGTTTACTTAGATTATTGTCAGTTTCTCCACCACCTTTGCTATGAGTTGACTCAGGCAATTTGTGGTGCAAAGACCTGTGTGATTAGGCATACTTGAAAGTATGTTTTCAATCTGAACATTGGGATATCGTAAATGAGACTCAACTGGAACAGAGAATAGTGCCTGTTGTAAGCGAAATGTATTCTCGAGGACACATGAAGTCTGTCCAGTTGTTTGGTTTCCTACAGTGAGGTTCCTCTAGTACAAGAAGGAAGACATTTAATCTGAAATCTTTTTATTTGACCTTAGAATCTTAATAGTTTGTGCTTTATAGGAGGCAACTTTTCTATGGGCTTTTATCAACTGTACAAGAAGATTCTGAAATCCTGAAGGTAAACCAGCAAGATAAACTAATAGGAGGATGGTGGTGGTAGGAGTTTCTTACCTCTTAATTGCATGTGAGAACAGTGGAATAATCTCTGTCCTTGGATCAGTTTAGTACAAATTCTCCACTCCATGGTGTTACTGGCAACTTGGGTTTACTCCCATTTTTTCCTCTGGCTCTTAGGCTGCTCACCATCTAAAGAGAAAACAGATGTAAAAAAAAAAAAAAAAGAAAAAAGAATAACACACCCACAAAAAAAAAATCAAAATAAACTAAATCAAACAACAACTAAAAAAAGAAATAAAACCAAGCAAACAAAAAGACCTCACACACCAAAACAATAAAGCCAGCAGTGTTCAAGTGCTTATTCTGTATAGGCAAGGAATGCTTTTAAGTGCTGCTTTTCATCAGCCAGTGCATTGGATTTCTGCAAGGATGAGTGCTAAGAAGCCAAACAAAACCAGGCAGACATGGAGCGGGATAGGGTGGAGTGTTCAGGCACAGGAAACCATGTTTGTCTCTGCTTTCTCCAGGGCACGTCTTTCTTGAGCTGGACCTGTGTCTTTTCTGTCTTTTCTCCCCTGTTCTGGATACCTTTCTCCCAGCTATCAGCATGCCTGATTTCTTACCTGTCAACAACCAGCCCCATGGAGAGAAAAAGGTGCTGATGCTGGCGCTTTTCCCACCTGGGAGGTCAAAGTCTCATGTTCTAGATTGCCACTCAGCTCCTCAAGTAAGAATGTTTCTGTTTAGAAATCATGCTGAGGGCTGCTTCCTTAAAGGAGTGACTATGCCAATGGCCACAAAAGCTACCTAATTCGGTGGTAGGAAGTAGGGTATTTCTGAAACCATGACATCAGCTGATGTTGTCAGCTACACCTTAGATGTTTTGTGTCCTTGGTCCTGTAGGTGTAAACAGGCCTTCTCACAGCCCTCTCTCAATCCTGAACTAACACTTGATAACAAGAGCAGTGCCAATCCAGTGGCAGTCATCTGTGTACCTTTCTAGGAGACAGCCTGACACCTTTAGTTGCAAGATTCTTGGTTTTCAACTCCTGAAGACCACCTCTCCTTTCATTATACCTTCTTGGACTTTCTCCAGCACAGAAACACTTTCTTTGCAAGTGTTTCTACCACAAGCATAGAGATGCTTAGAAATACGTAGTAAGAGACAGGAATGTGGAGACATTGGTCCTCTGGGGACATTTCCACAAAGAAAAAAGAGTGTTCTGTCTTCTGTTCATACAGTATTTTGAAGTACTTCTGCCTCTTTTTCCTGCGAGTTTGAGGGAAAAATAAAAATTAAAAAAAAAAGTTTAATTACTTCAGTGTTGGTTTAGGATTGGTTGAAATCAGATTTAAAAATAATAAAGCTACTAGATATATCATCCCTTCCCTGGGAGTGATTGCCCCACCAGGGATCTTAGAAGACACAAATGTCTTCAGAGGTTCCCTCTCCGGCACTTGCTACTTTGACTTGCCTTTTCCATCTTCAAATCCCCACTTTCTTCTGTAAGGTCTCTGAGCATTTTCATTTTCTTCCTGAGATTTACAGTACATGAGGCTCATTTTCTCTGTAAGTAGGCAATAATGTCATTTCCCCACCTTTGTTCCAGGCAAGGTGGGGGAATGACTTCATTTTTTGAAACACTTCTTGTTTTTCCTATTTTCCCTGAAGCTTTCAGAGACTTTGAACACAAGATTTAAAGCCTGTCAACTCTTAGACACAATAAACCTGAGTGAATTTACAGGGGATGTTGCCTGTTGTAAAGTTTGGGAGCCATGTTCTAGAAGAATCATTTTTCGTAGTGTGTAATAGCAAACTGTTTTTCTAAGTGCTATTACACCTGAAGGTATTTTATTAAAGTTTGGCAGAGAATTGAAGCTTGTCAAATTATTCAGGTGCTGGCCTTCGCAGCAATTTAGGTGTGCTTTTTTTGTATCACAGAGCACTGCTGATTCCTTGTCCAAGGAATGAACCACGCTTACACCACCTCTGAAATCATGCCTAGAATTCTCCATCCTCTTCAGGCAACTTCCCAAGGAAATTTTGACAGCTCTGAGGCCAAAGCCTCTGGAAAGGTTACACTCTTTTGTCACAGCTTTCCCGAGTGGGGAGAGGCTGGTGAAAACCCCATGGGCATCCCGGTGTGAATGCCACTGCCATGCTTCGGAGGGGAATTCCCGGAACTCTGCCCCTCCCTCCCACGGGGTGGGCATCCTGCGGGCAAGAGGGCCGGCGGCAGGGACGGGACAGCGAGCCCAGAGGCTGGGTTGGATGATGTGTGAACGGATGCTCCGCACCCCGCCACGCCAGCCGAGCTCTACTAAACACCTGTCCTCAGGTCGCAGCTCGAGAGGCTGAACAGGGCTCCCGCTCGCCTGGAGGGTCGGGAGAGAAAACGAAAATTTAGTTCACAGAATTACACACAGTTCTGAGTCGGAAAGGGAGCCACAAGCATCAATGAGTCCGACTTGTCCCACACGCCCAGCCCCCTATGGATTTGCTCACAGATATTCTCTGTGATGGGGCTCGCTCTCCAATTGTCCTCCAAAGAAATTTTTTTTTCTTTTTTTTTTCCTCTTGAGAATAGAGTGATTCCCTATCCCTGTTTATATTTTAGAGAAATGAGTCTGGCTCTGCTTCGGGACCTGTGCTCTAACCAAAGGAAAAGAAAACCCTCCCACTTTTAAAAATAGATCATAAAGTTACGCAAAGGTATAAAGTGCAAGTCAGCTTTCCTTTTGACCTTTAAGTGTTGTTTTCAATAAGGAAATAAACGATTTGCATATTTTTAACTTGCGTGTAAAGCTGCTTAAATAATGCATATCTACAAAAAGTCCTGTTATCCGACCTGCATGATTGTGCGGTGTGTATCCGTATTTATTTATGCAGACACACACACAAAAATTGAAAGCAACGAACGTTGAAATAAATAACGCCACCCAGCTAAGTACTGCTGCATCCAGAACCATTAAAGAGTGAATTATTTTTAAGCCAATGTTTTTCATGCTTTATTACTGAATAATAGCAGACATTTCATCAGACATAAGTGATAAGAACATCGGGTAGATGATAGAAATTACATAGAAAACAGAAAACAAAAAACAAAAACTGTGTAAAGATCCAGATTTATAACCAAACTTGGTCATTTGCTGTTGTTTCCAAATATCTGGTTTAGAGATCCGGAAAGCTGCCTTAAAAGTAAGAAGCTCGTTGTACATATCATCTGAGCAAATGGGGTCTCCAAATGCAAAAACCGATGTAGTAAGTAATTGATTGCCAATTGATTTCTGACACGAATTTCCGTGAATACAGCTACACAAAATGTGGTTCCCAAACTGTAACGCTGATCAGCGCAAAAATTTTTACCATTCAGTCACTATTATATCTCGGTGTTAAAACTGTATGTTGAGTGGGCTGGTGAGGGGAGAAGATTTGGGGATTAATTAAATTTTTGAATGATATGGCTAAAGTGTTCTCTATTTTCTAGTGTGAGAACATAGAAGTATCTCAAGGAATAACTGAAATACAAAGCCTGGCAGGGCAGTGAGCAAGCCAGTGAGGGAAATAGCGTTCTCACTTCTCTTAAGAAGCTTTACTGTATAAAAAAAAGGGGAGGAAAGACGAACATTTAATTTTTTTTCCCCCTAGAGCACGAAAGAACTGTCTGCTGTTTGTGCTCTGTCCGCCGAAGAGCATGAGAGGGAGAAGCAGGAGGGCTAGTCTTGATTGTGTTTTGGAATTTTTTTCATCTTTTTCTCAGGAAATTCACAAAATCTCAGCACACGTCTTTTCGCAGAAGCGGGAGCCGGGGTGCCCGGAACGCGCGAGAGGAGCCTGGAGATAATGGGACAAAGGAAGACTTTTTCCAGCAGTCCGACACCGGGAGCGCAGCCAGCCGCGATGGCTCGCTGGTGATTCGGCGGCGGGGATGCTCGCGGGTAGGGAGGTGGGCTGCAGGGGGCGAGGGCACACGGACTCGGCGGGACGGCGGGGTTAGGGGTCAGCGCACAGCCTTCTCGGAGGCTCCGCCGGCTCCCTGCAGGGGCGGCGGGTCGCGCAGGTACCGCCCCACCACTCCGTGAGGGCCCCCCGCCGCCACATCAAGGGGCAGGCGGCCGCGGCCGTCGGGGAGGTCGAGGCGTGCCCCGGCCCGGTGCAGCGCCGCCAGCGTCTCCAGGAAGCCGGCTCGGGCCGCGTCGTGCGCCGGGAGGCAGCCGGTGCGCGGGTCCGGGCGGTTGGGGTCGGCTCCGCGCCGCAGCAGCAGCTCGGCCACCCGCGGGCTGCCCAGCATCATCACCTGCGGGGAGAGACAGCGTCAGCGCCCGCCCGCCCCGAGCACCCCCGAGAGTCCGGGGGGCAGCCGGGCTGGCGGTGGCAGGACCGGCGTCTCTTTTGGAGCGTCGTTCTGCTGTGTCGGCTACTTGTAGTCGTGACCTGCATATATTGTGACAGCCGTTTGCTGTCATCCGTGCGGGTGCCTTCCAACTCGAGATGGTCTATGGTTAGATGATGAATATAAAATATTAGCTAGTGGTTTCCAGACTAGGTACAACACGTGTTTGTTCTGCTTCACATTTATACCATTTATATACACCGTGGTATAAATGGTACTTGTGGTGTGTTTATAAGCATATATATGTACACACACACGTTTATACACAGATACGGAGGCAGCTACGTGTGTGTAGAGATATATACACACAATATAGATACCGTTTATGTAATGTACCTTTTATTACATAATAAATAGTGCATGTATATATATTATAAATGTATTTGGACATACACACATATTAGAATACATTAAATATATTTATACACATAAAGAGTTTGTAAATATTTGTATACTATATATACACACCATATATCTTGTCACAGCCCTGAGTGACCTTCCATTCAGGTTGCTGTCACTTAGAATGCATTATCGATTTATCAACGATCAGCACAGTAATGGGGCAATGTAGCTGGGTGTGGATATGTGGATATTTTCGATTTTTCCATTCCTGAGTTTTGGACCAAGATGATTTTTCTCTCTCTTTTTTTTTTTTTTTTTTTTTTTTTTTTTTTTTTTTTTTTCTCCTCTTCCAGCTCTGTCTTTTTCTCAGAGGTTTGGGAGCAGCTGCTGAATGCTCACAAGTAATACACAAAACTTAATTGATGGAAAATTTCGAATGATATTTTGTGCCTAAATGACAAATTCCTAATGACATTCTGCTTTTCTGCCAGTAGCAGAAATTTTCGGCAATGTTTAATCATATACGATTGAGCAAAACCCAGGGAAAAAACCCAAATCAACCAAAAACCAAAATAAATTCGCACATGAGGTTTTACTTCCCTTACTGCCTGGTCATTTTCAATGGAATTTGAACCGCCATAAATTGCGACTTAACGCTTTGAAAAAGATCTTAAGACAATAGGTTTTTCTATCAATTTCTTTCTTGGGCCTTTTGTTTGTGCACTTCAAGTAATTTGGTTTATTTAGACTGAAAGTGTGAAAATATTTATAAATGTCGTAATACATAAATTCCCGATATTAATCCTTTCCAGAAAGAAAAAAAGGGTCCACATATTCGAGTATCAGCCATTTTGCAAGTTGCTGACCAGAGAAAGAGAACTTCGTCTGAAATGAGGAAAGGAAAGAGTTTATAAGAATTTAGAGATTAATTTCATCTGTAATTTGAACATAAAACAGAAATAAAACTGATAACTTTCTGAGAGCTTTTCTCGGTAATCTACTTCAGAAAAATATTTAATTTTTTATGTAAAGTGCAAGGACCAAAATGGCTGCTTAGCTAAGCTGATGAATCATTAAATACATCTCTTAAAGTGACATGTCGAGGAATCTTCTTTGTGAGATACACAACTCCAGTTTAAACCACAGTATATTAATAATTCAGCGAACATTTTAAAAGTGTCTACTTAAGTATGTCGATTAATATAACACACTGAAACTGTCTAGAAAACAACTCTACATACTGGTATCTGGTACTTTTAACATCTCTCAATAAATAATCCCACTCTTGATGGATAGAGAATATTAAAATTACTACAACTAAAAGAAAAGAAAGAAAAGAGGTGGCTACTAATATATATCTAGTTTCAAGTTACAATTTGTACCAGCACAGTTCCTAGGTTCTTTGTTCTTGAATATACTAGAAAGAGACACCACTTCGATTTCCTTGGGGAAAAAAAGACCTATTCGGGCTATATTTAAAAAGCCGAGACTAGTGCTCTAAGTGCAGATCATTCCCCAAACCTATCTGGATAGGTTATCTGGAAGCGGATTTTGCAGTCCTACTTCTCCTTTTGAGTATCCCCTAGAAAAATTCGTTTGCTGCCAGCGGTTCCCCACTTAACTCCATTTTGTATTTTCAGGACGGCAGGGCTTATTAAAAAGTAGAGGGGCCATTAGAATTCAGACAGCTGCGGCTGGAGTACGGTTCCCATCATAACAATAAAAATTAATTCTAAACACGAAAAACCCACTCTTCCCCGCCCGCCGACGTGGCAGAGCACAGCTTTCCCCCTGTCCCCCATCCAGCTACCCCCGCTCCGCGGGGCTCCGTACCTGGAGCGGGGTTCTTCCGAAGGCGTTGGTCCCGTTGGGATCCACGCCTGCGTCCAGCAGCCTCCTCACCTCTTCGTGGTCCCCGCGGGCAGCGGCGCTGCACAGGCGGTCCCCGTCGCTCCGCGGAGACCCCTCCATCGCCCCTCGTCGACCTGAGCCGCACTGCCGCCGCTTGCCTTCCCTCTCCACTGGCTGCGATCTCGCCCGTCGCTGCTACCCAGCTCCTCCTTTCCCGAGGGCAGCGGCCTCCCCCTTGCACTCCCTCCCTCTCCTGCCCGCCCCGACCGCCGGGCCCCGCTCTCCTCCGGGGGGGCGGGCGCTGTGGCATCCTCTCTTCCGCGGCTCCCAGCGGCCGAGGTAAATCGGCGCACACACCCGGGGCGAGGGGCGCCGGCAGGGCGGCTAAGGACCGCGGGATGCTGGCAGCCTGGTCCTCAAGCACGGCGCCTCAGAGGGCAGCCGGTTTCATCAACGCCTCAGGAGCGGGCTGCTCTCGCGTTTTCCTCTCACCGGGGAGAGGGGATGGGGGCGGCGGCCTTGCACCCTCAGCCTCTCCCCGTATCGGGGAGGGTTTCGAAGGCAGGGGAGCGGGCGCAGACCCATGCGAAAACAGCTTCCACGGCACTGGCTCGGCCGGGGCAGGTGGGAGCATCTAATGAGGGGGGTCGACGGCCTGACGAAGGTACGACGGCTCCGAACTTTCCTGGGATAGAGAGGAACTTTTTGTGCCAGTGATGGCTCTAGTTTCTGTCTCCGAAAGGGGTCCTGCCCTGCCCGAGCCTCTCCGAGCGGTGGGTCAGGGATCCATCCCTCAGTTCTGCGCCTGCCGAGAGCTGGCGGTCTGGATGAGGAAGGGAGCCGTGCCCGCAGCAAGTCTGCGACCAACCTCAGGGCACCGGATAGAAGAGGATCGCTTCAGCCTGGCCCTTCCAGAGCCTCCCGGGAGCAGAGAAACCGCGGTGAAAGCCCTCCAAGGGTAAAGCGCAGCTCCAGCCGCGCAGCCAGAGGCTAGGCAGAGCAATGCCGCTTTGCCTGGCAGCTGTACAGATCCTCAAAATCCAAGCATCTGGCCCCTCCCCTTGGCTTTCCGCCAAGCGTCTCCCCATTGCATGCCCCGAGCACGCTTGTGGCACATACTCCCGCCCCTAGCGACCCCCCCGCGGCCGTCGAGGGGGAGTGGGCGGTCGGTACCCACGACCCGCACCGTGAAGTTTTTATTCTGCCACCTCGAGGCTTCAGGCAGACCTTTGTAAGAGGCAAGGAAAATAGGAGTGTTTTTCAAGGTTTTGTTTTCCTTTTTTCTTTGGTTTGTTTTTTTTCCCCTCCCCCTCACCCCTTACAATGTCAGTTCCCTAATCTCCTTTTTTTTTTTCCTAATTTGCAGAAGACCAGTGCGAGGCCGCAGAAGTATCCGCTGTGCAGATAAAACCCCCGAAGAGCTCTGCATAGCTAGAAGAGAAACATGGTGATTTTATATCTACATTTACTATTAGCCGAAAGCAGAGTTATCCTCGGATGAGGACAAATAAACACATATTTATCCCTGCATAGACAAGTCAGAAATTCATTAAAATACCTGCATTTACTGGCTTTCTGGGCCTCTCTTGCGAAGTTTCTGGGGCAAGTGGCATTGCAAGATGAGGGTCCAATATTTGAGGTGAGACCCTCGCTTGTGGTGGACTCCCACCACATCGCGGTTTTTCTACAATGCATGGTGCAAAGCGGCCCTCGGGACAGACAGACAATTTAAAACAAACAAATAGATACAATTTTTAAATAAATAAATTACGCTTAAAAGAGTGAATTTTTTAAAGTCTGAGAAGTCTAAAAAATTAAGATGATCCCCCACCCAAAAGGCAAAGTATATGCCAATTCTTCTTATGCTCTCTGGCATTAATGACCTCGTTGTTTTTGTCTCTTAAGTGTCTTAAAATTTCAAATCAATAGTGATGCGTGGCAGGGTTGCAGGTTATCGCTGTCTAGCCTTGCTTTCTGCGAAATAGTATTGATCGTGGATTTTATGCATCTGTATGTATAAGTATAGGACCTATTCCTATACTTACAGTGAGCATAAGGATAGAAATAGGTTGGAACCAATGTCCTTAAAGTCTTTTCCAAACTAGTTAATTCTGTAAAGAAAAAAAATGCACACTCACAAGTCAATATCCTTGCAAGTGAAGATGTTACTTCGTATCAGAGGGCCCGTCTATATCTCCATCTCCATCTCCACTAAATTATGTTAAAAGCTAATTGTGTAAGACAACAAATACTGTCCCATTATTATGTCCCAACATTACTGACCTTCTAAATCACTTATCAAACTACCAGAACATTTTTAAGGCACAGCATTTTAAGTTACATGATTGAAACATTGTGATTTCTTTCCTCTCTAAAATCAAATCTTATATTATATAATTCTAGTACCAACAAAGGACCTAAAATTAATCAAAATACAACAACACAGAGTCATATCTGAAGTTAGGATAATAATAACGCAGCCTAGATGGTGTGTTTTGAAAAAGAACCTTGTATCGCGCTTTTTTCTCGGAGGGGAGGAAAGTGAATTCACCTTTTCCTCTCAGCAAAACTTACTGCGAAGATATCCTCATAGAAGTTAAAAACAAAACCAAAAACGAATCATGCTAAACAGTGTCTCTATCCTATATTTCTGCTCTTATTTAATTTTAGAATCATTATTCAACCACACAGATCTTTGACACTGAAAACAGATCCATTTTAATATTACAGTACAGTAATGCTGCAAATTGTTCTGAGATGTTTTGATAAGAGCATAAAGGACGGAAGAGGTAACTTTCAGTTAACAAACGCAGCCGTCTTATGCTCTATTTAAGGCTTAGCAAGTATTTCAACAACAATAACAAAAAGACAACAATAATGAAATTCAAAACACATTTTATCTAACAATTATTTGAATAATTGTTTCAGGGGTTAATTAAATACAATAAAGAGATAAAATATAAAGAACATAATATTGAGATTTTCTAGCTTGCAAATAGACAAAAAGGGAACAAGAGAAACAGGGATAGGAGGTGCAGTAGAGAGTTGCATGGAACTAACCTGTTTTATATCAAAAGGGGGTGGGAGAAACTCTTGTTCCAAGTTACACGAAAAATTAAGCAATATCCAATACAGAAATCATTTAACATTATCGTTCTTGTCTTCAGCTTAAAGTATCAGAATATTTGCAAATGTATTTATCTTGATTACACATATTGGCTAAAACCAGGAAGATCTATTGCCTTAATTTTAGTCGTTCAAAAGTTGTGCCATGAGGGTTTCTATTGAACTTTAAAATGATTGAAAAATTCTCCAGAACAAACAAAGCAAAAACCAAACCACACACAAAAGCTCGAACATAGCTCAAAGAAACTGCAATAATAATGAATAAATGACTCACAGAGTATATCTTACAATCAGAGATTGGTTGGGGTTGGAAAAGTCTTTGGAGATATTATTTCCAATCCCACCTCTCTACCTTGCCTCATCCAGCCTGCTTTCGGATGCTTCAAGACATGAGGAAGCCACAACTCCGTTATATGCTATCCTAGACAGTTACAAAATTATCCCTAGGTATTGTATTATTCATAGGATTTTTTGGTTTTGTTTTCTGGTTTTATTTTTTTAAATTTAAACTTAACATGCGTGCCTTACTCTATCCCAGGTCCTTCAAAATGAGGTTTGTAGTCTAGAGCTAGGAAGTTTTAGAAAAACTCATTCTCCTAGATTAAAATCGCAGGGGAAGGGGATAAGAAAATAGCAGTGTTTATGGCAAAAGTGGAAATACAGTGAGAAAATAATAGCCACACTTTCGGATCTTTGAGGGGGTTTTGCCCTTGCAATAGAGGTGATTAGCACCCTCATACTTATATTTGTATTTGAGATTCATGCTTTTCAGGTCAGACAGAGTTTATAGTTTCTTTTTCTCCCTTTTAGTGCAGAATGAAGAAACGAGGCCTACTACAAAAACAAGAAAGAAAGAAAGAAAGAAAGAAAGAAAGAAAGAAAGAAAGAAAGAAAGAAAGAAAGAAAGAAAGAAAGAAAGAAAGAAAGAAAGACACATTTGAAGGCAACAACGAAAACTGTAGTTTCTGATCTATATGTGTGTGTGTCTGTGTGTATGGCCCCATACTTTTTATTCAAGTAGCACTGGAAGCAATCTAAACAGAAAGTGGAGCAGGGAAACTCTGAATTACTTTATCTCCACACCTTGAGTCCTACAGCTTGAAAGGTTAAAAATTTTGTACATCTATTTATACAAATATAAAATGAATTTTCTCTATTTTTAAAGTCATTTTGAGGCAAATATTTCTACTTCGCTTCCACTTGTGTTCTTTTCCAGTCTGTGTTCTGTATTAAGAGGAGGTTGTGGAATGCTCTAATAATCCTCTATGAGGATTGTGCAGAGCAATCCTCAAATTTTCATAAAAATTAATATTCGCTTTAGCTTCACTATATATCTAATTATTATTATTTTTGTGCGTGTGATAATCAATACCTAGGTCCACAACAATCAGATTTTGTACTCCATAATAAGGAAAAAGTCTCTATAACTGCCCCAGCCTCGGATATCTCTCATGGTCCTTCATACGAATCTATTTTGATTACTCTTTCTGACGCTGCTCGGCCGCTCTGACCCTTATTTCCCACATTTTCGTAATGGCAAGGGAAGGAAAAGTAGGCCACTGCATTTCACTGTCGTTTACAAGAGTAGAAAGTAATACACGGTCGGAAAACAGTGGCCATTTTCTCTCTTCAGAGCAATAGCTATGCTCCTTGTTTCCTTGTCTGAAAAGGATGGTAAGGGGTGCTGGGTTTATATTTTCTGAGAAGAAAACTTCTCAGAAAGTGGGAGGCAAGGCAGAAGTAAGTTACAATAATTTTTCAAGAACCAGACATTTTCTACTGCGTTCAAGCAAACAAACAAATAAATAAATAAAATACCCACACAGAAACACCCCGCCTGTAGAAATCTAACGCGTTTCCCGCTGCCATCTGAGCATGCGGCGCGGAGGGGTCCCCGCGGCTCTGCCACCGCCGCCTCCCGCTCCCGCCGCCCGCGCCGCCCCGAGCAACCCCGCTCCCGGCGTCCTACCTGGGCCGGGGGCTCCCGCCGCGCCTCCGCCGCAGGACCAGCTGCAGGGCGAGGCGCCGCGGCCAGCGCCGTCCCAGCGCCCCGAAAACGCGGCGGAGGATGCGCCAGCCCAGCGCCCAGGCCCGGGGCAGGCTGCGGGCGCGCCGAAAGTGGATGGTGCACCTTATCCGGGGGGTCATGGGTGCGGGGAAGCCGCGGGCGCGTCACGCTACAAATACCTCCCCAGCGGGGCCCCACCGGTGAATCGGCCCTCTCACCCTCCATTCATTGGAGAGTATTTCTTTCTTTTTTTTTTTTTTTTTTTTTTTTTTTTTTTTTTTTTTCTTTTCATTTTTTTTCTTTTCCGTTTAACTAATTTCGACTCCCCATTTCACTTCACCTCCCTCCGCCTCACACTCCTCCCCTACACTCCGCTGTAAACTCCTCCCATGATGATGGCTCCCGCCTCGAAAGCGGGCGAAGGAAGACTGTCAGCGGGGGATGGGTTCGGGGGAGATCGCCGGCTCCTCTGCCCTCCCATCGCCTGGTCCCGGGGAGCACTGCCGCTAGGCGGGCGTGGAGACCGGCCAATCGCAGGGCTCTCCCCTGCTTATTTCAAATAAAGCCTTGACGACATCTCCTTGCCCTCCCCCCCACTCTGCCCCTCCAAACACGCCGCCTCCCGCTCCGTTTGGGGACGGGTGTTACTCGGGTTTTTTTTCTTGCTGTCCAGTTGCTCTCGGACCCCACTCCCCCAGGGGAAGCTCTGACAGAAAGAGGGCCTGCGGCGTGCCGGAGCTCCGCGTTGGCACTCTGACAGCCGGCTAGCGGATCGCTGCCTGTTTAAAAGCGCGGGCCAGTCTTGGCCCGGGCGAGGAGCTATTTCCTTGTCACATGGCCATTGAACGCGAGGCGGGAGCGTTGCGTAGCGAAGCCGAGGTGGGGGGGATGGGGGGGGAGAAAGAGGATCTCACTTTCCCCGCGCCGGCCATCGAAACGGGTAATGAAGGGTTCCCCGCCCAGCCCCCGGGCCTTCTTTCCGGCCGTGCTCCTCGGTGTCGGACCTCTTTGCTTTCCTTTTGAAGGGCGAGGGTTTGGAGTGGGGCGAGAGAGCAGCAGAGGGTTGCTCAGAAGCCCCAGTCAACCTGCTGGCGCTTCCCTGCCTGCCTGGCTCCCAGAAAGCACCGGAGAGCTGCAGAGACCAGCGACAGCCGGTGCTGAGCCAGCTCTGCCCCCGGGCAGAGCATCCCTGGGAGGTGGAGGGGGTTTCTGCTGCCTCCCTGTCCCGCCCCCCACCCCAAGAACCCTTCTGCCCTTCTGCTCCCGGGTGCGGGGTACCTCCGTGAGAAGAGCGATGGGCAGGGAGAGCGTCGTTTCTGCTGGCGCATCTTCTCCCTCTCCCGGCGCGGTGGGGTCCAGCTCGGATGGTCACGGCTAGAGGCGGCTGGGAGAGAGATCTGGGGAGCTCGGGGACTGAGGGGAGCTGCGGGAAAAGCGCCGGGAGGGGACGCAGAATGACGGTCCCTGGGAGGGATGGTGAACGTAAGCGTGTGCTATAGCCTCCCCACAACAAACACCTCCTTCTCTCGGATGGACAAAAAGTTATAACTCGGATGTCAACAGAAGATTTCTTCTGCCTCGGCACGGAGCAACCCTAACAATGTTGATAAGGAAAAGCCTGTAATTCTTTCTTTTCAAGTCCGATTTCAAGCCTGGGAAACTGGGTGAGTAAAATCGGCTATTTCGAAATTAAAGCACCTTTCGATAGAAGCTTTTTCGTCTTTTTTTACCCTCCCCCTCAAATTATTTTTCCCCCTCTTCTCCCTTGCCGTGACTACTGCTTCCCGACTGGCAAAGCAAAATTCAGAGAAATGAATGCCTACCTGGCTGTGTGATGCAAGTGCCAGAGCAGCGGTGGGAGGATGGATCGACAACTTTGGCAATAGAAACCCACCAACACTGAATGCATGGCCAATCCAGGGCTCGTCGTGCACAGGGAGCAAACCCTGGTGCAGAAGGGTGTATGTGTGGTAGCGCATGTACTCAGTTATAGCGGCAATATTAAAAATAGAAATAGCGAGTAATCTGCCACCTCAAACATAATACTTTTAGGGCTTTCTTGATAAAGTGTACTGCTGCTGCTGTTTATTGTTAGCTGTTACTATTCTTCTTTTCAAGGAGGACTCCAAGCCCTGGAGCCGCTGCTGCCGCCAGAAGAAAAAGTGCCTGTGGAAGCTCCTGCAGCCAAGTGGGATCTCGCCAGTGACCCTCATCCTTCCATGGAGTGAGTAGTCCCCACCATGGGCCTGTCCTGGGAAGAGGCTATGGACCTACTCTGTGAGGCAGATTTATAACGATTAGGTATTTAGCCTTGCTGGGTTTTGAGGGCATGCTCTTCTTATTTGGTGCAGTCAGCCTAGCAAATTGTGTTTTTTCCTTGCTAACTTTATAAACAATAATAGTAGTAATATATTATTACTATTTTTTTTCTATAGTTTCATAAGCCTTAATGGAAATGCTAAAAAAACGGAAATCGAATCTAGTTCTGGGAGAAAATGATGATTTAAAATAAGAACAGGTCCAACTGATGATGAAAGTGCAGTTTAATAGAACCTTACTGTTCTGCAAGGAGTGTGGTCAGGCTCTTGCTTTACCCCATCTCCACATCTGGTAGCAGCTCCATTCTGGTTCCCACAGGCATGGGATTCAGGCACTTAATTGCTGCATCCCCAGTGTCGTCCTTGGTTCAGCTATGCCATGTTCTAGGGCAGAGTGCAGCACAAATTAATAAGGTGTTATAATCGCATATTATGATGTTACATGTTTTCTATTTAAAGATATGTATAAAATATATGTTCTAGATATTCGTACAATGAAGAAGAATGAATATAGACTAAAGATAACATAAATGTTTGGTACATGTTTATATACATACAATTTCGTTTTAATTAAACCAAGAAGCGTAATTAAACAACGAAGTATATTACATATAAAAATAATTGATAAGCAAATATATCACGTTGATGCATAATCATAACGTTTTATATATGTGTGTTCTATATGCATATCATGCATATTTTATATAGGTATTACATAGATACATTCTGTACATTAATGACATAACTAAATATTTCATCGCGTGACAAGAGATACAAACTAATTATAAAGCATACATTTTATGAAATTACATTATAATAAATAACATATTCCAATACGTTACAAAAAAGGTATATACATTATTTTTCATGTTTATATATGAGATATATAGGGTTGGATACTCAGTAGGAATGCAAAACCAAAATAAATCTTTTTCACCTTTTCTACAGGTAGCTCTTAGAAGTGCCTAGGATTAGCGCTGGGGTGTGAGACCTGAGCTCTGTCACTGCCTCGCCTGGCTTCCCGTTCTCAGCCCCTAAGGTGCAGGACGTGTGAGCACAACTCCACTGGGGATCCAGGGAGGGAGGTAGGGTCTACTACTTGTCCCGCACGGTCTGGGAGCACCGTCCCCGCCGCCTGCCTCACCGCCCGCCCTGCTGCTGTCCGTGCGCTCCCTCACCACACCTCACCGGGGGTTTGGGGACTCGCTGCGGTGACGGCGTGTCTCCCGCCTCCCCTTTTCTACTCGGCAGAGGCTGGGCTGCTGCTGTATCTTTTTCCTGGGGTGCCCACACCCAACGCCCCCTCGCCAAAGCAGCCTGTAAAACATGTATTGGCTGTCACGTAATTAATATATAGCCCTCCTCGTCGTTCTCCCACCAGCAGCAGAGCTATTTCAAAGGTTTGCTTTGCGTCACCTCCGAGCATCTTGGGAAGCACATACATCAGATGTATGATTTTTAATTTTTCGTTTATGGCTGCCTTGATTTTAAATCACCTGAATTTTTAGTAGTACTATAACTCAGGGGAGGTCGCTTGCAAATTGTTAAAACGAGTATTTCAACTGGCGACCATATCAGGCGTGCAGAGACACAAATGTCTCTTTATTTCCTCTTTCCAGATCCTATGGTTGCAGCCGACACAAGGAGAGCCACGAATGCGCTGTGGATACATGTGCAGACATGCAGAGCATCCTACGTGTTTTTAAGAAGGCATTTACCAAAGCTGCAATCACACCAGGAAGCACTGATGCTGCTGTCCAGCCGGTTTTGCCAGAGAAAGGCAGATTGGCTTCAGCACCCCTTCAGTTCGGTTTAACCAAAATCAAACAGGGAGCTGTGGGGACACGGAGACTCTGAAGCCTCTCCCATCTTCTTCAGACGGAGGGCTAGCAAGCGTGAGTGGGAAGCCCTCGCGGAGCAAGAAGTCCAGACGTGGCCCCATTAAACAAGGAAGGGTTTATACTACCATATCCCTGTGCAGGGATTTTCCTTCATATTTAATACTCAATATTTGCTATTTAATATTTTCACATTTAGTATTTTCTTCATATTTCGTACATAATATTTCATATTTAATATTTCTCTTTAGTGTCTAGACTCTAGTGTGAAAAAAGGGACCTGAGGAGGGCCATAGCATTTTCAGTGCAGGATAATATACGGGCATGAGCAAAGAATACTGTCCTTCGTGCATCCCAGCAGGGAAACGCGATCCGGGGTTATTCCCAGCATCACATGAGTACTGTTCGACTTGGTGTCTCCCAGGTCGGAAGCGGGCAGTTAAGTCTGGAGAGGGGCTGGCACGGGAAGAGTTTAGGCACGGGAAGAGTTTAGGCACGGGGCGGCGGGTCGCGCAGGTACCGCCCCACCACTCCGTGCGGGCCCCCCGCCGCCACATCAAGGGGCAGGCGGCCGCGGCCGTCGGGGAGGTCGAGGCGTGCCCCGGCCCGGTGCAGCGCCGCCAGCGTCTCCAGGAAGCCGGCTCGGGCCGCGTCGTGCGCCGGGAGGCAGCCGGTGCGCGGGTCCGGGCGGTTGGGGTCGGCTCCGCGCCGCAGCAGCAGCTCGGCCACCCGCGGGCTGCCCAGCATCATCACCTGCGGGGAGAGACAGCGTCAGCGCCCGCACAGCTCGGAAGGAATGGACATCCGCAGTGGAAAGGAGAAGAAAATCCGCGGATGAGGCATAGAGATCGGCTTCGGACGCATCACGAACGGTGCAGAGCATGTACCTGTCGGTGGAGTTGTGCCGCATTGGAAAACTCTCCTTTATTCACGCCAGGGGACAGGAAGGAACAGGAGGGGCAGAGAGGTGCGAGAAACCTGTCGGGGTCGGAGTGTGTGGATGCACACTGGGGCTGCTCCCCGACAGGAGCCGGCGGGATCGGTAGGCTCGGAGCAGACGAGCCGAGGAAAGGGGCTCGCCCTCCTCCCGACGCACTCCCACAGAAACACATGTCCAGCCCCAAGTCGCTCTGCACCGGTCCCCGCGGAACCGCGCCGGTGCAGCGGCTCGCGGGGACCGCCGTCACTCCGCTCGCATCCGTGACACTTCTCCAGAGGGTCCCTGGCAAGGGGAGACGCGTAATGCAGGGAACCCACTGAATTAACCTTTTGCCTGACGCGCGTGTCCAGGGCAGTACCAACGTGCCTGTTTCGAGTGGAATGCTCCACCGACATTTTGTAGAAGAGCGTTTAGCAAGCACTGGCAGTAAAACTTAAATATAGCTTCTCAGATTATTCCCGTTTCGTTTTATTTTAAAATTTTAAGAAAAACCTGGCCAGAACTACCTCGAAAATTAACTCAGCCTTTATAAATTTAATCTCTACTACACCTCCGGGAGGTAAGTCTACCTACACGTTCTCGCGAGTGTAAAATGTGGGCAGACGTGCCCCACAGGGATTGCTCGTTGTCTACCTGCAGCGTCAGCTGGGCAAGGTTATCGCGACCGGGTGTTCCCACTCGTGAAAGTCACCGAATACTCTTTTGTTTCCACGAGAGAGGAGACAAAACATACTAACAGTCATATAAAGCTGAAGACGAGGTATAACGAAAGGGAGATTATTTCTGCAAACGTGAGTTGTTGCATTTTATTCCACGTTTATTGCGAGATGAGCATTAAAGTTCTCGGATTTGAGTCATCCTATCTCAGTTGGTTCAAATAAAGCAAAGGGTTGCTAAGACTAAAACTTCTCTGTTGCGGCCGTCACCGGAGAAGACTTTCTCCTTCCCAGAGGGGCGAGAAGAACCACTGTGCCACGCCGCCTCGACAGCAGCCGAGCACAGTGACGGGGGCGGCCGCCTCCGGGGCACCGGCGGGCCCGTTGCTGCCCCGAGGCTGCCGCCGCCCCTCTCTCGGGCAGGGCACGGAGGGCCGCTGCCCTCGCCCAGCTGTCAACAGTCCGCCTCCCTACCTGGATGGGGGTCCTGCCGTAGGAGTTGACGGCGTTGGGGTCCGCCGCTCCGTCCAGCAGCTCCCTGAGGCGCTGCAGGTCCCCGCGGGCGGCGGCGTTGGCCAGCTCATCCGCCACCGCGCCTCCCGCCCGCAGCGCCATGTCCCGGCCCGCGGCGCCCCGCACAGCTCCGCAGCCGCCGCTCGGCCGCCCCGCGCTGCCCGAGCCTGGCGGCGATCCCGGCCCTCGGGGAGCGCCTTGCCCATGGGAACGCCCGGCCCGCGGCCCCGGGCCCAGAGGCTCCCGCAAGGTACTGTCGCCGAGGCCGCTTCCACCTGCGCGGATAAGGCGGAGGCTCCCAGCTCTCTGTTTCTCCTCCCCGCTGGTGCCGCCTGTCGTATTCCCGGTGTCACCGCCGGCCTCGCTCTGACGGGGCGGAGCGACCTGCGTAGCTCTCCGACGGCAAGGAGGGCCTGGTTCCCGGGAGGGTGGCCAGCGGCGGGGCGGGCTCTCCATCTTTTATATTCGTCTATTACTTTATTCTCCGAGGCTCTCTCTTGAGAGCAGCAGCGTCTTAACCAGTGCCTGACCGCCACGAGGGGAGCAGGGGCAGGGGAGGAGCAAAGGTAGCAAAAGACTTTAACGAGAGCGGGGCATGAGAAGGAGAATGGTCCCGGCACTGCCGGGCTAGTGTCAGCAGAGCCCCCCTCTCCCCCCGGCGCTGTGTCCTCGCCCTCTCGGGACACCCATCGGCACTCGAGGAGCAGGAGGCGGAGGTGGCCGCCCCTCCTTCCCTTCCCCTGGATGAGCTGCGAGCTCCTGCCTCTGCTTTTTCAGTTGGCAGGGACACTTAATAAGAGACAGCGGGCGCAGCGGCGCCGACAACCTCACTGAGCCACGAATCGCAGCTCTGATGTTTCCATCCCACCGCCTAAATTGCCTTTCTCTTCTTTTTTTTTTCCTTTCTTTTTTCCCCCCACCTTAAAAACAGTTGGAAAGGCCTCGGCGAACAAACAAGTTCTGCATCGCCACGTCAGGCTTCCAGCGCCTGCCTCCCGGCGGGGCAGGCCGAGGCGGGCCGGGGCGGGTTCGGGGCGGGTTCGGGGCGGGTTCGGGGCGGGGGGGGGCCCGGGGGGGCCGGGCTGGGGGGGGGGGGGGGGGGGGGGGGGGGGGGGGGGGGGGGGGGGCGGGGCGGCCTGGGCGGGGCGGCCTGGGCGGGGCGGGGCGCTCCGGGGGGGTGGTGTCGGCAGCACCACGGACAGCTCCCCTCGCCGCCGGCCTGCTGCCCACCGCTTCTGGCCTTCCTCCGCTACGGGGGATCTCCGCGCCTCCCTAAAAGATGTACCTTTTCTAAAAGCCCCGCATGTGCACGAGTGAAGTGCCATGTCGGGCACATTCAGAGATACAGCTGGCTGCAGAGAAAGACATGCATGCAGAATCTAGGACACATCATTCAGTTCGCAAAGTCTAGCACAGCCCCAGCTTCACATCTATGGCATATGTGACAATTGCAGCAAAAATTCTTAGAATCTAAGTAATAATTCTCATGTCTCCATCATTTAACTGTACAGTGCTGAGCAAATCCCCTCTACGCTTTGACTCACATATATGTGTAAGGATTGTGGTCATAGACCTGAAGGACAGCGGAAGAAAAATTACTGAATTTGATATGCTTTCAATCTAAATAGTCAAACTGCAAAATCTTCCATTACACACTGTCCATGGGCTTTGTGATTCTGCAATTCCTGGTAACAGTTGTCCACTGTCTGAAGAAGTGTGTGAGTCAGGCAGTATGCTGAGGGCTATGCCATGCTTAACATGGCAGGCAGGTATCAGGCATCTTCCATAATCAACAACTATGTTGCAAAGTTACATAAAATTCACAATTAGCATGGATTAAACATTTAATCAATTCCCCAAGTGTATGTACTTGTATAAACATTGTTAATGACAAGACTTCTGCCAAAGCTGCAACACACGAATCAACTTGCATTGGAGAATCAGTCCCATTGCAAGAGATTTTTCGATTTTGATCAAGTATGGCAGCCAAAATCAGCAAAAAGCTATTAATTTCTCACTACAGCTGGACTGCATAAAAGCACACTGAGAGTCTGTAAGTTCAATTTAACCTGCTGGTAAACTATACTTATTGATTGATGAATCTTTATTGCTATTTATATCCCTATGGGGAACAAAAGAGAAAGATCTCTCAGTTAGAGTCAACTCATATTCAGAACAT